ACATGGATGAGCGAGTTTGGGGTGGAGGAAATTGACTGGCCTGCACAGAGTCCTGACCTCAACCCGATAGAACACCTTTGGGATGAATTAGAGCAGAGACTGCGAGCCAGGCCTTCTCGTCCAACATCAGTACCTGACCTCACAAATGCGCTTCTGGAAGAATGGTCAAACATTCCCATAGACACACTCGTAAACCTTGTGGACAGCCTTCACAAAAGAGTTAAGCTGTTATAGCTACAAAGGGTGGGCCAACTCAATATTTACCCTGGTTGGCATCTAGCCCCCTTTTTGAATATTGGAACTACCGTAGCCCTCCGCCAATCACATGGTACCCTACCAGTCACTAAGGATTATGTAGCAATTTAAATAAATGCATGTAATAATTAATATTAATTCTTGTATTTACCTAATGCTTATTGTTTTCTTCTTAGGGGAAACTGGATTGGAGAAGCCCCTTATAAAGTTGGTGTACCTTGCTCAGCATGTCCTCCAAGTTATGGGGGTTCCTGTACAGATAATCAGTGCTTTCCGGGAGTGACATCAAATTACTTATACTGGTTTAAGTGAGCTGCTGTGCTGCCTGATGATTCAAACAATTTCAGATTGATGTGATTATGAATGATACAAAACACAAGTAAAGATACAGATGAAACATTTTTAATAGTGATTAGTATCGTCATCACTTCTAATCACTTAGTGACCTCACCACTCCAGTACTGAGACTAGGAAACTATGTCAATGTATTAATACACCTTGAGTACACTATAGGTATATTTGAATTCACTTTAGAATTCATTAATTATTTCATATGTATTTATACAAAAGGAAAAATGTTTTAGATACCATTCCGAAAGTATGTATGTTTTGTTACAGTGTTTTATCATTTCTCACTTTACAGTAATTGTATTCTTTGTGATGCTTGTGAGTGTATATTAATACCACCTTCTAAAAGGATTATACGTGGCGAGATGGCTGCTTGGAACAGTTATGATAAATACAATCCATGCCAATCTGGTATTCAATGAATTCTCATATATACTGGAAGGTATCATTATTCAGAGAGGCCAATGAAAACTCTGCTTAACAATTTTTAAATGATTAAGACTATTGAGTTTTCCAAACCTTTTTATATTGGAGTGTTAAGTGTTGTGAGACAACAGTTGTCAGTTTTCCTTAGGTATGTGGTTGCAGTTCCAGAAGCATAGGAACAAGGGTTGCAGCAATTGCATCTCTGACCAGACATGTGTTCTGAGGGGGTAGCTAAAAATGAAAGCAGTTACAATCCCATACTGACCAATCAGATTCCTTTTTAAGTTTTCCTAAAAAATGTAGAGAATTAAACATGAAACTTGATTGGTCGCTATTAAAAATAATGCCATTTGTATTTTCAGTTTTGTTTAATCATTTTCTTACAGCCATACACCATCATATAGACTTTTAGCAATCTTAGATGATTACTGGAAGTCTCCATTTTTGCTCAATTTTTATGACCTCTCTAAATAATATTTTATGACATAATTGCACTATATAAAACAAGCATGCATTTAGCTTATTATGGCCATAATCGCTGGCAGAATTATTGTAGTAATTATATTTGGTATTTAAGAGAATTTCTAAAGGTGGCCATACACGGTACAAAAACAGATATTTGCACCCTGCACTAAAAATTTGCCATTAGGTGAAATCTACCACCACCACCACCACCGCAACTTCTACTTACCTTTAGGGTCTATGCAAAGAAAACCTACTGTATTATATCAATTCTTGTGCTGCAGTTAATAAGTTTCAGCTCAGCTATAGCAGACCATATGACTGCTAAGGGTTCTAGATGAGTCAGGGTTGTGCAGCCAGGCTTCCTAATAATTTAATGTATTTGGAATGGTTCAACTCTTTTTATTGTGATTGATTACTTAACATAGGAGTTGGAAAGCAAAGGAACTAAGGAAATTATTTTGTTAAGATATTATAATGCCTTTGTTTCCACTACAATAACTACCACAACTACAAACTGTACAGTGAAGAATGTGGTATTAACAAAATCTTCAGCCACCAGTTCTTTTCAATAGAGGCCAGGTACAGGAGAAACTCCATTGTGCTGATAAGACCAATGAGTTCCAACCAGGATCACATTTTCCATAGTATAGCCATTATTTGATTGATGCACCTTTAGCACTTTTAGATGCCATGGAAACCTGATTTAAGGATACACTATTTATTTCATAATTAAGTTATTGAGCAATAATTGATTATCATGAAAGTTCCACTTTTCCCACACCTCCTGTTACTCCTGTTATATATGTTTTTTCAGTAATTGTTTGACCTCTCCAAGATGTCTATGTACTTTTAATCATTTTACTCCATATTTAAGATGTGGCCTTACAAATATTTTATATATGGCAACACTATACTAGCATGATTGTTATAATTACAACTTATAGTGAAGGTTTTGCTTTTTGCTGTATTAGAAGCAGATGATCAGACAGCGAAACCTAGCATTGAATTCATCTTACTTCCTAATTGTCGACAATATTTGTTCATTGAACATAGACAACATTATATTTATCAGATATAGTATTTGAAAAGCCATACCATGCATAGCAACCTTTGGACCAGAGTTAAAAACTATAAAGGCATAAAATGTTGAACTTCTGCCATGTTTTTCTTCCTTGGATAGAGAATGTAAAAAGGTTTCACCTGCTATCAGGTTTTTATTGTTGTATTTATTTCCACTGGGGGGAATTCTCCTTACTTCATGGACAGGAAGTACAGATGACCCCCAATACAAAGAACAGGGGGGAATCTCTCAAATGGGGATGCTAATGGGAAAAAAACACAGTAAACATAGTAGGGAAGGGCCCAGTGTCCCGATAGAGAGATTTTCCATACTTGCTGTTCTGGTGAGAGGCAGTCATTAAGACAGGAAGTAATAGAAAATATCCCTAACAGGGACATAGGCAACAATAAAATCATTGTAGAGGATGTAACCCTTCCCCATGCTATTCAGAATGAAAAAGGTTCAGGATTTTAACATATGTACTAAAATGAATAATGGTATACTCTGTTGGTCAAGTATTGAAAACTTCAAATGATTAACCATTCAGGTAAATAACTTGCTGTATTTACTTCCAAAACTCGGGGTGTGCAAATCTAACACAAAAATATGTTTAATTATAATGAAGGAGTGTATGTTTGTTCATAAAAAGAAGACAATTATAACTGCAATACATTGGTAGGTGCTAGCTACATTATTTAATATTGTATTCTAGACATAGAAATTTAGCAATGCAGTTTGTCAATGTATTTCTAATACTGTATTATTTTTACATTGTGACCTCTAATAGCTAAATGTAATTAAATATGGTGCAGGCAGTTAAATATGGTGCTCAACAATAATTCTGGTGCTAAATGAATATAGACTATCTATCTAAATAGACGTTTCATTATGTGTAAGTTTTATGCAGCTGCATCTTGTCATTTCATTTCAACCCATGTACCTTTCTTCAGCATGTGGAATTAAATTACAGGTAGCAAAAAAGGCATTTTCTGACCTCAGTTTTTAAGCGCTTTATGTTTTAAACTTGCCTCTGTGTGCTTTTACATCCATTAACATTAGCCTCAGTTTATTTGCATCAGTTTACATGCATTTGATGGTGTTAACAAGCATATGCATGCATTTAGTTAACATCTGGCAGTTAGTTAACAGCAATATCAGTTAACATGCACTATCACTACATCTAGTCTGACCGACACTGCATATATGTGCCTTCATCTATTACACAGGTAAACGTTATACGTTGTACATATAAGCATTAATTTGCTAATTATGTAAACTGCATAATTTCATAAAATTAGACTTATTTAAATTAATTCAGTTACATCCTGCTCAAATGAATGTGGCCTCAAGTAAAGGAGTATCAACTTAGAATGCTGTACTTGATGTACTATGTAAATTGGCAGCATATGAGCAGGCCCAGCACTCTACATGCAAATATCATCTGGCTGCTCAGTGCCAATGTACATCAACCACATCACTCATTAAACAGTAGTAGTAACAGTAGTAATTCAGTGACCACATACAAAAACAGTTGTAGTATTTTTATAATACATGGTATGCAGTACATTCAAATGGAGAGGGTCATTTGTTTAAAAAGCCACAAGGAATCTATTAGTCTAAAATGATCTTCCATCATACCTGCCTTGTGTATATTATAACCATATATCCCCCAGTTAAGCTAAAATAGCATTTCTGAGGGCATATGAACTGTAAATGCTAAGACAAATTACAATTGTTTCATCTTTTCATTAGAGGAGACACCTATAAAACAATGTTTAATGGAGGGACCACATGGAATTGTAAAATTAATGTGGTATGATAATTTAAGCTGATTTGTTGGTTTAAAATGTCATATTGAGCACTCCAGGGTCTGTTTTTCACAATCCCTACTAGATTTAAGATCTGTGTAATTCCACCGGAAATCTTCAGCACTAACGCAAACTAAATTATGTTCCTGGTACAGTATTTTCAAGAGGTCAACAGAAATATTTACACACCAGCTTCCTCACTTACAATTATTAAGATAATTAGTGGTGTAATTAGTTTAAAATAAATATAATTTCACTTGGGGAACAGTTTTAATAAATGAACAGGAGATAAATCTCTGAAGCAATGGCTGTCCTCTGTCCATATTACACAAGGGGGTCATGTAGGTTTTTCCCCAGGAATATCTAATAATAAAGTCCTATGATAGCTTCTTATTAATATAAAAGAGAGGTTGGACATGCAGGCATGATCTAACCACCTAACAGTTTTTCGGGGGAGATACATTCACTGACATTTATGGTGACATCTTACAAATGAGTATATCTTACAAATGAGGATATTCAGTCAGGGGTGGCTTTTATGATTTAAACTCATAGGAGTTGATTTACTAGAGGCAAATAGGCTGTTCACTTTACAAGGGAATTTCCCCTTAGCCTAATGAACGGTATGAAGCTCTGCTGACTTCCATCATCCAATCATGTAAGGAAAAATACACTTTTTAAATATTCCTTGCATGAGACTGGGTATTCTTTGCAGAGTAAATTTTCACCACATTCACTAAGCTAAGGAAAAATGTCTTTGCAATGTGAAAATTCTCTTGGGAAGTGAGCGCCCTACTTGCCTTTAGTAAAGAATCCCCATAGACTTAACAGTTGCCCTGGCAACAATAGCAACTTTCTATAACACAACGCAATATTCAGATAAGGATCTGTCATAGCAATATCTGTTTGATGTCATTAATTCATTTTTAACATATGTAATGTCACAAAACTAAACAAACAGTCAAGTACACCTGTTCTTTAAGCTACCAAATACTAAACTGAATCTTGGGTAGCTTCTCATTTACTAACCCTTTTCTGTATAAACCCTTTATACAGGTGTTTATATCACTTTCCTTTCCTGCAGATCTTCATTTTTGGTAGTATTGCAGTGGTGGGGGCTTACCCACCTAGGGTTGTTTCCTTGTTGATACAACATCCTGCTTACACAAGTTGATTCAAACTTAAGTAACAGGCACGTTGATGATTCGGGGGAGAATGTGTAACTGCTTATTCATTATGCTGTTTTAAAAAATTATTATTG